AGCTGTTAAGTTATTTTTACTATTTTATTTTTTAAATATTTTCTTTATTATGTTTATTTTATGTGTATGAGTGTATTGCCTGCATGTATGTGAGTGCACCTGTGTCGTGCAATGCCTTAGAGGTCAGAAGTCTTCAGATTCCCCTGGAACTGGAGTTAAGGACAGTTCGTTGCCTCCACGTGGGTTCTGGGAATCGAACCCGGATCCTCTTCAAGAGCAGTCAGTGCTCTTAACCGCTGAGCCATCTATCCAGTCCCTATTTTATTATTTTTATTTTGTGTGTACGAGTATATTGCTGGCATGTAAGTGCACCTATGTTGTGCAATGCCCATAAGATCGGAAGAGGACATCAGATCCCATGGAACTGGAATTACAAACGGTTGTTAGCCACCATGTGGGTGCTGGGATTTAAACCCTGGTCCTCTGCTAGAATAGCCAGTGCTCTTACCTGCTGAGTCATCTCTCCAATCCCAATAAATTTTTTTCTTATTTTTTTTTAACTTTTTAAAAAATATTTTATTTATTTTATGTGTATGAGTACATTGCCTGCGTGTATGTGAGTACACCCATGTCGTGCAGTGCTGCAGAGGTCAGAAGAGGGCTTCAAATTCCTCTGGAACTGGAGTTAAGGATGGTCATAGCCACCATGTGGGTGCTGGGAATCAAACCCAGGTCCTCTGCAAGAGCAGTCAGTGCTCAACCGCTGAGCCATCTCTCCCGCCCCTTAGTTATTTACTTTTATTTTATGTGTTTAAGTGTATTACATGTATATATGTAAGTGCACCCATGTCATGCAATACCCATGGAGGCTAGAAGAGGGTTTCAGAGCCCCTGGAACTGGAGTTACAGATGGTTGTTAGTTGCCATATTAGTCTTGGGATTCAAACCTAGGTCTTCAGCAAGAGCAGCCAGTGCTCATTTCAGCATGCCCCCCCCCCCCCCCCCCCCCCCGCACACACACACCCTCTTTTTTTCTTTTTTGGTCTTTTTGAGACAAGGTCTCCCTGTAGCTCTGGCTGGCCTGAAACTCACACTGTAGAGATCAGGCTGACCTTGAACTCAGAGATCCACCTGCCTCTGCCTTGTGAATGCTCGGATTAAAAGAGTGGGCCACCATACCAGGCTCTGAAAAAGAAATTTTCTTTCTTTTTTTTGACAGGGTTTCCCTAGTCCCAGGCCACCTGGAAAGTCACTATATGGACCAGGCTGGCCTAGACCCCACACCCCAGTATTTCTTAGTTAACTTTTTAATATTTTTCTCATGGTTCAGGGGATCGAACCTAGGGCTTTCTAGCTATATTCCAACCTGAGTCAACTTTCTTTAATAGGGAAAGCACTCTGCTCAAGGCTAAACTAATTCCTTTTTTGTTTGTTTTAATCTTCAAAGTTGACTTTATGTTTTGGTTTTTGAGACAGGATCTGGCTAAATAGTACATGCTGATCCAAAACTTGTGATCCCCTCCTATCTCAACCTCCCAAGTACTGGGATTACAGACATGTGCCAATATTCAAAGTTCATTTTCTATTAGAGGAAGTTTTTTTTGGCTTTTTTAAAAATGTGTATGAGTGTATTGCCTGTATGTAGGTACGTGCACCCATGTCGTGCAATGCCTGAAGAGGTCAGAAGAGGCTGTCAGATTCCCTGGGACTGGAGTTATGAACAGTTGTTAGCTGCCATGTGGGTGCTGGGATTTGAACCCGGGTCTTCTGCAAGAGCAGTCACTGTTCTTAACCGCTGAGCCATCTCTCCAGCCCCATTTTTTTTTTTTGAGACAGTCTTCCTGTACCCCAAGCTAGCCTAGAACTCACTATATAGACCAAGCTGGCCTTGAACTCACAAATATCTGCCTGCCTCTGCCTCTGAAATGCTGAGATTAAAGGTATGTGTGCCACCACCCCAGGCTTTAGAGGAAATTTTAAGTGGTGTGCTTATATTCTACCACTGAGCTACAACCTTCATCCAATTAGAGAATTTTTTTTTTTTTGGTCTTTTTGAGACAGGGTCTCCTTGTAGCTCCAGCTGTCCTGGAACTATGTAGACCAGGCTGGCCTTGAACTCACAGAGATCTGCCTGTCTCTGCCTCCCAAGTGCTGGGACTACAGGCATGCGCCTGAGCTACCAACCTCAATCCAATTAGAGAAACTTTCAATTTTTTTTTTTTTTTTTGTATTTTTGAGACAGGGTCTCCCTGTAGCCCCAGCTGGCCTAGAACTTACTTATGTAAACCAGGCTGGCCTTGAACTCACAGAGATCTGTCTGCCTCTGCCTTCAAGTGCTGGGATCAAAGATATATGCCACCATGCCTGGCTGGTTTGGTTTTTAAAAACTGGTCCTACTCCAGGCTGGCCCCAAACCTGTGGCAATCCTCAGTGCCTCAGCCTCCTGAGTGCTGGGATTAAAGGTGTACACCACCACACCCATCATATTTTTTTAAAATAAAAACAAATGAGAAACAACTTTTATAGTCCAGTAAGCTAAACCAAGTTGACTGTGGATAGCATTACTGTTAATATAATTAGCATCAACAATATAAATCACAGTTCAGATCAGATACTGACATCAGCCTCACTCACCATGTACATTGGGGAGCCACACAGTGTTGCTGCCATCATGTTACTATGCAGGTAACGAGCAAAACCAAAATCAGCTATTTCACAAAATAAAAAGAAAAACAAATGACACTCTGGTCACAATTAACATAAATGATTCTATGAGACACAAGGCACAAAAGAACTGTGAAAAATAAAGTATTTATTGAAATAGCCTGTCCACCAAAGGAAAAAAGTATCTTAATTTCAGAAAGCTAAAAAGAAAGAGTTATCATTAAATATCAATACCAGATTTATAATTTGAATTCCCTTTACCAACAGTTTCAAATAATCCAAGAATACTTGAAAAAGCCACCAAAGGCTGAATGAGATCTTCTAGATACAGGCTTATTAACCTGCTGCTAGTAAGCATACTCTCCAGAAAAGCAGGGGTTTTTTTTTTTTGTAGTTGTTGTTGTTGTTGTTGTTTTAGTTTGGCCCTTCTGAGATTGAGCATATGCTGCCAACAAGGAAAAAGATTCACATATCTAAATGGATCTCACTGAACCCCATAACAATGTTAAACCTGCATCAAAAAAATCCATTATTCTAACAAAGCTGAGCTAAAATTATCTAAGTACTGTCTCAAAATGTAATTTCTGTGAAGTAAGGCATGGGTGTTTACCTATTTTGATTCGAATACCACTGACACTTGACTTCCTGCGATTGGCATAAGACAGCAAGATGTTCTGTGGTTTGAGATCCCTGTGGATGATTCCTTTGCTGTGCAGGATTCGCATGGCTGCTGCAATCTGATGAAGAAACACTCTGATAGTATCTTCACTCAGAGTTCCTTTAGCTGGGAGAAAATGAGTCACATAAATACTTAAACAAAACCAAATATCTTTTTTATTCCGGTAAGACAATTCAGTTGTGAAGGAGGGTATGAAATAAATAAGAGAATTGGGATTCACATTTATTCCTTTTGTTACTTTAACAACTGAAATCCATGATAAGATACCAGATTTCTTTAAAAATGGTAAGTAAGGCAGGCATGGTGGTGCACACCTTTAATGCCAGCACTTAGGAGACAGAGGCTGATGGATCTCATGAGTCCAAGACAAGTCTGGTCTAACCTAGGGAGTTCCAGGCCATCTGGGGCTTTAGGGAGACCCTCCCTCAAAAAGACCAAAAAAAGAAAAGGAGAAAGAAAGAAAGAGAGAGGGAGGGAGGGAGGGAGGGAGGGAGGAAGGAAGGAAGGAAGGAAGGAAGGAAGGAAGGAAGGAAGGAAGGATAAAAAGAGAACTGATTTGCATTTTTGTTTTCAATAATTTTTCCCCTGCCTATTTTTACTAGTGAAGGTACCTTACAGTGTATCTCTGAACACAAGAGATGTTCAACAAATACAAATGTCCTTTACAGACCAAAAACTTAATTTTCCTTCACATTGGTCACCTAAGATAAATGCTCAAGTTTAATACCAAGCATCTCCTGAACACAAATTAAAGACAAGTAAAATCCTTGTGTAGAACCTACTGCCACTTGCATCTTCAGGGATCTGTGCATAACACTATCTCTTTCCCCTAATCTCTTGTGGACATGGTAACCCTGTCTGTCCCACACAAGATCTCTCATAGGTAAAGATGCCTTTAAGAAGAGGTGTTTTCACTCCTGTAGTGAGGTAGTGTACATATTATTAGCTGATAATCATCATTAAGTAATTACTACAGCATATGGAGAAGCTATGGATTAACAGTGTGGTATGGGGATAGGACTGTTCAAATCATAGCTTCTGCTTCCTGTGTGATCCTTCAAAAGGATCCTCCTTCTATATAAATCTGAGAGACTGACTACATGAAGTACTTGTGATATTACAAAATAACATTTTTAGTGATAAACTTCAAAAAGGCCTTGCATCTCCTGGATTTGGGGAAGGCTAAAGTATACAATCTGGGGAAGGCTAGGAAGAGAAGGCATGACCCATGCTGGGCAAAGGCTTTCCAGTGTGCATACCCTCAGGTCATACATATACCTCAGCAACCCCTCAGTTATCTTGGTAAGTTCAATAAATTCATGGGTTCCCCAGTAAAACTTTAATCAAACATTGGCTTGACACTAGAACCTTAAAAGGGAATAAGCATTGCTTGGCATCCTGAAGAAAAGAAGTCTCACAACAGATGGAAAATTTATTTGTTAATGCTATTATGTCTCATAATTATTTAAAAAAAGAAAATGAAAATGTAAAAGATGTTAAAAGGATACGGGAATGAAGATATTTTCC